AGTTTCCCCCCCCCCCCCCGTCTCTTCGCTTTTGCTTTTCTGTTCTTTTTCATCCCCATGTGCTCTCTGGTTTCAGTGTAATGCTGAAGTTGGTTTGGAATTATCAGTTCTTCGTTGGATTCCTTATTGTCGTCTCCGTTATCCCTTTTGTCTTCGCAGGTACGAGGTTACTTCATCTTTGTTGTCGTTCAGTTGAAATTGTTGGATTCTTGTTCCTGCTTCTGTGGAGATCTATATTTGTTTCCGTTACTTGCCTTGCTGGATTTTGGATTTTCCGTTTCAAGCTGTCGAATTTTGTCCCTTTTTTTTTATCTGTTTTCGTCGTGATCAGTTTGCTTGTTTCACTCTTGACTGTTTCTCGTCCCGCCGATTTGGATCTTTGGCATGCGTTGTGGTGATCGGGAGGAGTACTGAGAAATCGGGCATCGTCGTTTTCGTTGGTCACCCTTTGGGTTTCGATCATGTCTGTGATTCAGAGAACTAGAATGGGAAAAAATGGCAGCTTATGAAGCCCCTTTTCCCCCTTTCCAGTTCATGTTTTTCTGTATCATTGCGTGTCCTGAATTTCGCTGTAGTTCTATGATCCTTTTTTTTTTCTGAAGTACAAGTTGAAGCCTTCTGTTTTGCTACTTGGTTCGTCGTGCTTTAAATTTCATTTTTTTTTTTAAATCATTCTGCGTCTGGTGGATCGGATTGATGGTGAAGTGAGACTGTGCCTAAATCTGTTTTTAGCTGTCTCGAGAATTGTTATGGCTTGATGGTGAAGTTGGATCAACATAAAAGAGATGGATCTTTTAGGTTCTGTTCTGACTCTGGACTTGCATGATATTGAGTAAACTTGTTGAGATCCTGTTATTTTCTCCTGAGAATCGGTTCTTCGCTAGATTTAGATGGTTTAATTCACACGGGATCTTCAGATATTCTATGATGCTGTTATTCTTTACTGGGTTGCTGTTTGATTTTCCGAGATATTTCCTGTCCACTTACGCTATCTTTGGCATGCTTCATATGGTACATATTTCATTACTTGCAGAGTAGAAGCTTTTGCACTTTCGAAGCTACTTCTTACGAGCAAAACCATATGGCATTGCTTTTTGCCGTTCAGTAGATTCTGTTTTTGATCTTGTCTTGTGGTTTTGCCTTTTTCGTTTCTGTAATAGCTTCCTTCAATATCTACATACTCTATACCCAACTTTCAGTTATGTTAATCAAATTCTCTACCAAGGAATCAATCAAATCGTTTGTTGGATGATCATTGTGAGAATCTTTAGTTTTTAATTGTCTTGACTTCCAGAGATACGCAAAAATGGCGGTGGAGCTTGTAATTTCAGCAACCAGTGAGAAGCTCAATGATGTGGACTGGGCAAAAAATATTGAAATCTGTGAGCTAGTCACTCGAGATGAAAGGTATATGCAATTGCAATCATCCCATTTGGCTATAGGAAATGCTATTCTTGTGGACTTAATTGGATGCCAACCGCCTATTTGACATCTATATGAAGCTTAAAGCTTCAATTTATCTGTGCCTACATTCTCTTTAAAAGAGTGATACCGCCCTCTTGCCTCTGTTTTTCATTCATTTCATCACAGTCTCACAGATCATGTGTTTGATATTAAATCATCCTGAAGAATTATAATGGAACTTGTAGTCATGGTATGATTGCTCTTGTGAAGTAGCTATTTTGTGAGCAGGCAAGCTAAAGATGTTATCAAGGCTATCAAGAAACGCTTGGGAAGCAAGAACCCAAATACTCAATCATATGCTGTCATGGTAGGTCCAAAGATTTAGGTCCGTCTTTATTGTGAAGTCATGCTTTATCAGCAAACGACAATGGAGCTATTACTTTATCATTTTGGATGCTTGTTTTAACTACCTCGCTGGAGTTGGCATTACCTTTGAACATCGTGGTAATGTGTTGGAACTGTCATTTTCTTTTGCTTATTTGTTTTTGCAGCTGCTGGAGATGTTGATGAATAACATTGGGGAGAATATTCATAAACAGGTTATGGATGTGGGTGTTCTCCCTGTATTAGTGAAGATAGTGAAGAAAAAGGTATATGCATCTGTTTCTGGACTTTATTTTACTACGAATTCAAGGATTATACAGCTTACATTGTTTGGTGGCATATTGTAATCCTACTTTAGTCAGATTTGCCTCTGAGAGAGAGGATTTTTCTCCTTCTTGACGCGACACAAACCTCCCTTGGTGGTGCTTCAGGGAAGTTCCCTCAGTATTATTCAGCATACTACGATTTAGTGGTGAGTTTAAGCAATTAAACTCAGTGGCTGTTCTGTCATCGTGCTATGCTTTATACTTTCCTTGAGTGAGAGATTTCATCAGATTGCTGCTTATGCAAGGGTTAGTCGATGAGTTCACTGATAATTTATAACATATTAGATGATCATGAATTGATGCATAATATGGCTTTATGCCACTGCATCGTGGGTTTTAATTCACTTAATTGTAGCCAAGTTTTCTTTTCTTCCTGAGTAATATATCTAGATTGGCAGCAGTTCACTGTTTTACATCACTTCTGTAGTACTGCTTGATGACAATTTCGTGGATGAAACTAGACTGTTTGTTAGATTCAAGTAGGTTGAGTATGTCTGTTTGGCATATCAGTTGATCAGGCGTCTTATGTTGCCTTTAGCAATCAGGAGTTAAGTTTCCTCAGAGAACTCATTCTACACAAGAACCTGGCTCAACACAAGCAGCCCCCAGAAATACACTTAATGAACAACTTGCATCTGCTAGGAACGAGGGCAATGCTCAGCGGCAAGAATCTCAGCCTGCATCTCCTTTGAGGTACACATATTTCCCGAGTCAGTACCTGTTGCTTTTCTAAATCGACTTGTTGTAGGTGACCTTATGGCTTATTCTGCTTGCTGTTGCATACAGCATCTTACAAAAGGCCAGTAATGCGCTAGAAGTTTTGAAGGAAGTTCTTGACACAATCCATTCTCAAAATCCCGAGGTATTGCTCTTGATACACATCTGTTGATTGTGTGATTTGGGAAAATCGTGTATTTCCCACTAACTAACATGAGTTCTTCATTTTTTTAAGTAAGCTGGTGGCCTGTTGAGGTGTCTAATCGATCTCATAGTCACAGCCCTTGTGATTACTCCGATTTTATAGACTCATCAACTTTCCTTTTGAAAATTATTTGTCTCTTGCCTCCCAGGTAGCGAGAGACGAGTTTACTCTTGACCTTGTCGAGCAGTGTTCATTTCAGAAGGAGCGAATTATGCATCTTGTGATGAAGTCAAGGCAAGTTTGCTCTCTGTTTCAGTAGAGGACACGATTCTTCTACCTGTCCTGCAATATTCTGAAGTGCATTATCTAATTTGTCTTGTGTCGTTTCTATGTCCAGAGCTAATGATAGTTGCTTAGAAAAGCTGTGGTATAAATAGTCTGTTAAATTTGACTTTAGATATTGTTTACAAAGGGCAGTTAACATGATCTTTCGAGTTTAAAATTTTACATAATTCAGCATGTTTGGTTGCATTAACTCAGTTTCCCCACCACATGTTTCTCTTGATTTACTTGCAAATAGGGGAAGATCTTGTTGATGGCAAAACTAGAGTGTCTAATCAGATTGTCAAAGTCCAATGGGTTTAGATTAGACTATTTGGAAAAAAAAAGGAATCCCTGTTAGATGTTTCCTGCATTTTAAGTAGAACATCTAATAGTTTTCCTTGTTGGGCATTGTGTGATGTTCTGTGATAAGTTTGAGTTTAGCATATCCGTGTAGTTGTTATTTTGGTCCTGACGCATAATTCGTGCAGGGATGAAAAAGTGGTCTCTCGAGCAATTGAATTGAACGAGAAGCTGCAAAGAATTCTCACTAGACATGACGACTTGCTGTCGGGCAGGATCACTGGGTCAGGCCATAATTCCAATCCCAAACAGAGCCATTGTCCTTCAAATGGGAATCATCAGAAACATGAACTGAGCGCTTCTAATGCAAATCATTTGCATACCGAGTCAAGCAGCTCTATATCCAACTCAATTCATCTTAACCATGACGACGGGGATGAGGAGGAGGAGCCTGAGCAGTTATTCAGGAGGTCTGTCCCTCTTTGCAACCTCTGCTTTGAACTTGTAGTACAAAAAATTGCTTGCATCCACTAACTTACGATTGTCTTGTAGAATCCAGTAGATGAAAATCGGCTATTCTTGAAGTTCTAAGTGATTCTGAACATTTATGAGGGCTTTATTTTATTCCACACAGCAACCGTGGCACTCTTACAGATACAATGCAAGCTCAAGGAGCTATCGTTTTTTATATCTTATCCTGTCTTGTTCTTGCAACTAATTGGTCTATGTTGAATGCTGAACTCGGCAGACTGAGAAAAGGGAAAGCCCAAGCAAGGCCTGAAGACGAAGGCGAGCCGTCTTTGGGAGAGAAACCTCATATGGGCTTGCTCGGATCATCCGTGACAGGTGAAAGTCTCAACCGTCCACTTATACGCCCTTTACCTTCAGAGACAACACGCGAAAGCAATTCACAGTCACCCCCTTTTGCAATTCCACCACCGCCAGCAAAGCACATGGAGAGGGAGAAATTCTTCAAGGAGAAGAAAACCGACGGCGCAGTCATCTCCGGCCACATGAGAGGCCTCTCGTTACACAGTCACGACGGGAGCAGCTCACGCAGTGGAAGCATAGACTTCAGTGACTGACCGACCTCCATAAACGACCGAGCTCATGGCTCATATATACATATTCTTTACGTTTTTTTCCCGGGTTTGTAATTTACAGGACAGAGAAAGGAGATGGACAAGCTTTCTCAGCAGATTAAGATGTACTGCCAGGTTCTTTCGTGTATAGGAGAGAAGTGCACTGTTTCATGGGAACAGGGATTGTGTAAGATTATCGAGGTTGTGCCCTTATGCTGTAATGGAGTTGAATTGCTCGATACAACATCTGTTGCCATATAAAACTTTGATATATACAGATTCTTCTGATGCAACTCTACTTCTTCACCTTCATCTCTCTCTTATCCAAATTTAAGTTTTAAGCAGAGAATTTCCCAAAATGGGTACAGCTTTAGTGATCAAAATAGCATAAAGCCAACTCAGTTTAAACTTCAAGAAACACCCGACCATGGTTTCTTGTCTGTTGTCCCAAGACATCAGACAACAGTTTCCACCAATGTCAATGTCGACAAAAGACACAGATAAAACTCTCTTCTGTTCATAGCATCACATAAAGAAGCTCCTCGGCTATAAATAAATAACAAGAAAACATCATAAAAAAGACAAGAGAGAGAGAGAGTTGAGAGAGTGTCTCTCTAAAAAGACAAGGGCTTTGAGTTCGTTCACTTCACCATGCAGATCTTGATAACAGAGGCAACGCCAATACGGTGGAGAGCCACAACCGCATCACCAGGCTTGCACAGCCCTTTCTCGGTGGCCGATTTCATCGCCGCCTCGAGAATTACTTCTGTAGACTCTGTATCGGTCGCCTTTGCCGACCCTTCGGCCAACACTGGGATTAAACCTCGGTATATCAGACTGTGCCTCGCAGGAGACTCATCGCTGCAACTCCAGTCGAATGAATCGGTTGTCATGACGGGGACAACCACTGACAGAATCGGAACTGCCGGTCTGTACTTGGCTACCAGCTTGGCTGTTGTTCCTCCACGTGTCATCACCACGATCAGTTTCGCCTTGGCCTTGTTAGCTGTCCGTACAGCCGATGATGCCAGGCTCTCCAATGGGCTCATCGGAAGTGGAGTGGCTCGTATCATCTCCTTGAAGATGGTGTTATACTCGAGCGAGGACTCTGCTTCGATGCAGATCTTGGCCATAATCTTAACGGCTATTTCTGGGTATGCTCCAGCTGCGCTCTCACCGCTGAGCATCACGCAGTCGGTGCCGTCGAGGACGGCGTTTGCAACGTCTGTGGCTTCAGCCCGGGTTGGTCGGGGTGATTTGATCATGGACTCTAGCATCTGTGTGGCGGTAACCACGGGTTTACCTGCAAGGTTACACTTGTAGATCATCATCTTCTGAGCCAGGAAGATCTTCTCGATTGGAATCTCCATCCCGAGATCACCACGTGCAACCATGAATGCGTCGGTTTCACGCAAGATATCATCAAAGTTGATCACACCTTCCTGGTTCTCAACCTTGAGTCCAGAGGGAGAATGATTAGAACATTTCCGAAAAACACAAATCGAGGTTCCATCACAACTAAGCTAAAACAAGAAATGAAATGTAAAGTACCTTCGACATCAACATGATGCTTTTGGCATGGGATCCAAGGACCTTCCGGACATTGACAAGATCCGAGCCTTTACGCACGAACGAAAGGGCAATCATGTCGATGTTGTTCGGAACACCCCAGTTGAGGATATCTTCCTTATCCTTCTCGGTAAGGGTGGGGAGATCGACAACGACACCAGGGAGATTCACGTTCTTTCTTTCACCAAGCATCGCTGTATTCTCGCATCGACATCTAACCGTTCCAGCATCAGGATCACATGACAAGACCACAAGACTAATGCTTCCATCCGCACATAGGATGGTATGTCCAGGCTTTACATCCACCGGCAGCTTCTTATAGCTCATGGATATCATTTCCTCATCTCCCTTTATGTCATAGTCAGTCGAGATTGTAATCTCCTGACCTTCCTTCAACTGTATCGGTTTCCCATCTTTCAAAAATCCCGTTCGGATCTCGGGACCCTGTAGTGGAACAAGCAGGAATATACATTGTAAGCCTCTAAACACAAATCAAACCCAGTGGATAAGGAAACAATCAAGATCAATCCCCATTCCATAAATAGAGTTTCGATGAGTATGTGACAAGGAAGATCGAAACCTTGGTATCAAGCATGACAGCACAGAGAATGCCGGTGTTCTGCATAGCGGAACGGAGATTGTTGAGTGTCTCTTGATGGTACTCATGGCTGCCATGGGAGAAGTTGAAACGAGCTACATTCATGCCTGCCTTTAGAAGTTTCTCGATCATAGGCACAGATCGAGAGGCAGGGCCGAGCGTGCAAACGATCTTCGTCTTTGGGAGTTTACCTTCATTCGGTAGCTCCTTCAATATCCCTTCAATGTCTATGTTCGCCATTTCTTCCCCTTCTTCTAAACCCGAAACAGCCCTGAGATGAACAGAATTCAGACATACCCATGAGCCAAATCAAAATCCGAAATTTCTCAAAAGGAAACAGCCTTCTCCACCAACCAATGAGAGATAAATCCAGCGGGAAAACAAACAAGACCCACCCCCACCCCCCACCCCCCAAAAAAAATCGAACTTCCAGGGATGATTCAAACAAGCAATCATGAGGAAATCGATCCCTCAACGTATAAATAAACGGGTTTTCCGAACTTTCTCACTCCTTAGCTGTTATCGTCAATTTTTCTCACCAAACAAACACAGATTCAACGGAACGGAGAAGGAACAATACCCAAAACCGAAAAACGAAGTTCAAAGGTATATATACAAACAAGCAAACGGGAAGGTAACACATCACAGAAAGAACAGTGAGGACACAGACTCAAGGAAAAGAGAAAAAAGAATGTCAGGGGAAACAACCTGAGACCGGATCTCTAAGACAGAGAGAACGGAGAATCGAAGATGAAGAGAGGATCGGAGAATCAAACTGAGCAGTGGGGGGGAGAAGAAGAAGAAGAAGAACCCTCGTTTTAAGCTTCGTCCGGTTGTGAATTCTGTGGCTTTAGTGTGTAAAAGCCGCCGAGGGAATCCCCCCAAAGGCATTTAAAACGGTGGGCGGCGACTGCCACGTCGACACTCTCTTTGAAAATTATTACTTTATTATTATTATTATTATTACTATTATTATTATTATTATCGGAATGCGTTGTGGTTCGGATGTATTATGGATGTCTAACACATCGGATACCCGAAGATTTGAGATATTCAATTTTCAGATCCAACAAAATGTTTCATTTTAGATTTTGAATCTATAAATCTCAAGTTTTAGATTCAGTTTTAAATATGCAGATCTCAAGTTCTAGATTTGATTTTAAATATTTTTAAATATATAGAGATATCAAATATCCGAAATTTTGGATAATCAAAATTTGTTATCAAAGAAATATTTTCCAATCAACAAATCCTAACAAGTGATGTAATGAGGACCATCATCATACTTCCATTACATAAACTCGGTTCAACTACTTAGCTTTTTCTTCTGCTGTTTAGATCAGTTTAGTTAAGAGTGGACAAAGCAGAAGGAAACTCACTTCTTGCTTTAGCCCTCCCAATGGGGAAGAACTCCATAAAGGGTCTAAGACTCGAGCTTGAAGCCGAGATCTCCATTGAAGATAGAAGTAAGCACCTGATATACAACGGCTACTATGAATCCCGACACAGAAGAGAGCGGGAGCGATACCGTCTTGCCAATTTTTTCCGCGTGTTCATACGAATCCTTCATATGCGTTTTGGCTGTACATATTGCACGCGTTCTTCTTGGCATAGGATCTGGAGTGGATTGAGAAAACGAGGTTAGAACGGGTAACCGGCAACAGAGAACCTCGTGAAACTAGAATGTGCCTTTCCGAATCCATCTCCCTACTTGAGAAAACAGTAAAAGGCAGTCAAATTTTCGGCATATGAACGAGTATTTTGTACCTGCAAATCTTCTGACAGTGCCTCTGAGACAGCAAGAGTGTAGCAACCCGGAACAAACTTCCCTGCCAAAGAGATTTGCAAGAATCATATTCATTTCTGCCTCGAAAGAGGAAAACAACCAATTACAGTAGAAAGCATCGGACTTTAAAGACGCGTATAATCCGGACACAACATTTTAATCGGAATCTAAAGGGGGTCACTTGGTGAAGGTAACTGACATATACAAATCCAAAATCTCTCTCCTCGTACCAACCATCCAACTAAACAAAGAAAAGATAATGGATGCCATTGCCAGGAGATACGATCGTACGACATGTTAGATCCGAGTTTTGAAAACACATCATTCATGCCGCCACCAAGAAACCAGATTGTCTTAAAACATCCGAAATCTATAACAGAAAAGTCAAGTTTTGATCGGATTCAAGTGTCAAAACTCCGCACCCACGATAACACATCTACTCAAAACCTCCTAAACGTATTTGTTAAGCTCTGAAAATCATATGCATAAAAGAAAAGGAGAAAACCCATTATACTTATGGCTTCCACAGAGAAACCAGATGATTAGGAAACTGCACAACTCGAGCAAGCTGAGGTACTACAATGGCGGAAGAAAGGACACAAAGGAAAGAGGAAGCCAATGCATTCATTCACATGGCGAGCTCAGTATACCTATTCTTAACCACCTCGCGGCCCAGCTTCTGCTTGGATCCATCACCGAGATTATTCTGAAAGCAGTCTAATATCAGCACCCTTGTCCCATATAGATATAAATACGAAAACAGGAGATAAGCTCGAGCATGGAGAATTTACAGTGACACTGAAAAGAACAACAACTCAAGCATCTATTAGCAGGAGGCATTCGGGTAATTGCCCCCCATTATCACTCATATACCTAGAAAGACTAATCAAAAACCACAACGAAGAAATTCTATGAACCCTAGAAGCTTAAAAATCTTGGAAAGGGTTTTCGATTAAGAAAGGGTTCAAAGAAGCCCGTACCCGTTGAAGTTAGGCGTGGTGCAATCCACAATACGCTCATGGTCGTCATCCATCTTGAAGAAAGGGCAATTCTCACACCCCGATTCTCTGAACTGGTAGCGAAAACCATCATCGACGGAGAAAACCCGTTTAGAAATATGAAAAAGAAGAACAAAACCTGGTCGTAGGTCTTCACAAGACGGCAACGGAGACAAGACCTAAGCTCGTGACCGAAGCTCGTCGGAATCTGTGCCGGCGCGCTTCCCATTGTACTTAAATCTCTGCTCTTCCCTTCGGCGTTCGTTTCAGAAAGAGAACGAAGCACTGAAAATCTCCGACTCCGAGTCTCCAGGTAAAAAGGATTTTACAAACTTTCTATAATTTCATGAATTGGGCCGTGTATGGGCCTATCTGTCTAAGCCCAATAATACATTCATGGCCCAAATACTCCCAACTCTTTTTTGGATCAAAGCAAGAAAACAGTTGAAGTAATGCCATTATTAAATTTCTTGTAATATGTTAATTACATAAAAATAATGACATATATATGTTTGAACCCACAATGAGTATATTAGTGACTGCGATTTTGGTATAAATAGTAATTATTCATCAAATTTTTAACTTAGTTTTTTTTTCATAATTACTTGGTAGCAATTATATACCAAATTTATAAATAATTAATTATCTATTTTAAAAAATATATTTTTATCAATTTAGTTTAATTTTAATAAAAATATAATTGTCTAACTATAACATAATATGAAACAAATGGCATCAAATCTATTTCTGTCTACAACATAATACAGAATAACAATGACCAAACAGAACCCTAAAGATCAAGCAAGCCAAGAAGGAACAACAGACAAAGAAAATCAGAAACTAGCATCTGCGTCTGATAATCCCAAAGAAGAAACAGCAGATCAAATATCAAACTATGGAACAATAATCCACAATTGCCCACAATTCAAATACCTCAGCTCTTATTGAGAAGCAGGAAACTGGAGATGAAGGGGGCAACGATAAATCTCTGCTCAAACTCCGGGAGACACAGACATCATTAACAGATGATGCCAGTTCTCACTTGCGTTTTCCCTGTCCAGCGTTTGAAGCCACCCTCCTGAGTTTCCTGGTAAAAGCAAACTCTCCGAGTTTATGACCAACCTTCCCCTCGGTGATCTTGCAACGGACATGGGATTTTCCGTTGTAAATCCGTATGGTGCTACCGAGGAATTCCGGCAGAATAGAAGATCTACGCGACCAAATCTTCCTGTTCATAACAGCATCTTTCTTCTCCTTCATCCTCAACAGGAATGCATCAACAAAAGGACCCTTCCATAAGGATCGTCGCGGCATGAGGGACCTGGGGATTAATCCACAACATCAACAACTAACCACAATTCAGAACAAGTTGTGAGAAGACGCGTCCAGGGGATGAACGAGGTTGCCATAAACACCGAGGAAATATTCTTCGGTCCTAAGCTCAGATGAACTCTTCGGACAAACTGAATCAACCCATCAAAACCCTAAACCCCTCTACAAAATCGAAAACCCTAAAACCAAATCTCAGTAAACAAACCCTCAGAAGCGTGACATTCATATTGTAAACATCTGATTCAGAATGCAAACCACAAGATTGAAGCCGAAAACAATCAGAGAAAACCCCGATGGAACAAGCAGCGGGCGAGGAACACATAAATCAACTTTCTATAGCGACAGCATTAGAGGAAGAACAGCGAGAGAACCTGTAAACGGAGACGACGACGGCTCTGCGAGAGAAAAACCCTAACTTTGGAAGACGAGACTCGATCGAGAGTGGAGCTCGGCGTGAAAGAGAGGCGAGTTTTTGGAATTCTAGTTTTGGGCCGTCTGTGGGCCCATCTTTATGAGCCCACTAACAAATTCATGGCCCAAAACCCAACTCCCACATTTCTTTTTTCTTCTTCAAAGCAATATATATAAAATATATACACACACATTCTTTACACGTAAATATATATATATATATATACACACACACACTTTACACGTTTGTAAAGTTAATTAGATAAAAATATTATGTTCGAATCCGCAATAAAAATTTGGCTAATCAAATTGATCTTCGCAATCAAATCGATATAAAAGTTTATGATTTCTTTAAAATAAAAATAAAATAAATTCAAACCAAAACCAAACCAAATAAAAAATAATAACCATACTCCGAATGAACATAAAAACGATAAAATCAAACTAAATTTGATGTAAAGCCGAATAATTATAAATTTTTGAAAATCAAAATACATACGTACGTACATACATACATACATACATACATACATACATACATACATACATACGTACGTACGTACGTACGTACATACATAGAGATATAGTCGGCACAGTACTGTGGCTTGGAGACGAAGCCTTCACCCTCCACAGTCCACACTTACTCTCTCTCTCTTCTTCTTCATAATTCCCACACGGACCTATTTTCTTCTTCTTCCTTGTACGCATATCTCTCTCTGCTCAGTTTCCTTTCCTTTTGCCTCATCTTGGTGGGGATTTTCCTCTGATATCCTACTTTGCCCTTCTCTCTCTTCTTCCGGGATCGCCGAGCCCTATGTTATCCTTCATGGGTTTATGTTTTCCTCCGGTATGATTCGATTTCCCCACCTCTTATCCTCTTCTTTTTTTGCGGCTTCAATCTCTGATTGAGCTTTGCCTTGGCGGGTTCTTCGTCTTTTTTGCTCTATTGCTCGATTTCTTAGTTTCTTTCCGTCTTCACGAAATGGGATTTTGTGTGATTGCTGCTTTTTTCCTTAGCCCTAGGTACAATTTTGGATTGTTCGAGTGTTTTCGGTGTTCTCCTTGAACATTCTTCGCCTTTTTGTGTCTATTGGTATTGCATGGGTCCGGTTGTTTCGATTAGCTGATTCTTTCTGTGGATTGAGCTTTTGGTAGATTGTTGTTTTGATCGAACGAGTGAAGCCGAACTGATTGATTGATCGATTGCGGCGTGATGTACGTACGGGTCGATCAATCCCGAACGCTTTCTTTATCTGATTGATGGGTTTCTTGTCTTCTTATTCTTGATCTGGAACAAAACATCTTACTGATCTTGTTTTGCTTGGTGAATGCTCATGCTGCCCTTTGCTCGTTCCTGATTCTTGTTTTACCAAGGGTGAGTGAAGGGTTTGGTTTTCCTTTCAGTGCAGCACGACATGTAAAATGCTTTTGAATACTGTTCTGCTGTGTGTCCTTGAATTTTGGCTCAAGCTATGACGGCGTTTTTGTTTTGAGTCTAATCCCAATTCTCAAAAGCTTGATCTATTTGATTTTGCAGAGGACATATATGGGCTGAATTAGGAATTTCATGGGAGTTGTGGAGGATACCTTTGAAACGTGCGAAAAGGCTTGTCAGCGAATCAAACCGCTTCTGTGGGAACTCTTCTGTTAGAGGTAGTGTGGACAATCACTTGGTCGACCTAATGGCTCGGCCTCTGACCTCCCAAGGGGATGGGGAAACTACCTGCTCCGAAGGAGTCATAAAAAAGTCTGAATTCATTAGGATAATAACTAGGGCCCTATACTCACTCGGGTATGATAAAACCGGGGCCCTTTTAGAAGAAGAATCTGGGATACCTCTGCAAACTTCTATTGTAAAGTTGTTTCTGCAACGAGTAATGGATGGGAAATGGGACGATAGCATAGCTATGTTGCAGAAGATTGGTCTGCATGACGAAAAAGTTGTCAAGACAGCATCTTTCTTGCTTCTAGAACAAAAGTTCTTTGAGTTTCTTAAGATGGAAAAGGTGGCTGATGCATTGGGCACTTTAAGGAGTGAGATTGTGCCTCTTCATGTTAATGTGAAGTGTGTTCATGAGCTAGCTTCCTGCCTAATATCGCCTTCAAAGTTTCTATCGCAAAGTGTTTCTGGTCAAGGAATGGAAGATGTGAATTCGAGGTCCCAACTTATGGAGGAACTGCAGAATTTGCTTCCTGCTCTAAACGACTGTCAGCCATGGAGATCGATGGATCTTATCTGAAATTAGAAGGAGAATCAAGCTCTGATGAGAGTGACAGTGAGACTGCAGCTTACAAGGAAACCAGGGATAGCTTACTCCAGTGTGCTGAAAAGGTCCTCAGTGATGCATCTGAGGAATATTCCCAGCTTTCAAGGGTGAAAGAAAGATTTGAAAGGTGGAAGAAAAATTATGCATCTAGTTATCGTGATGCTTACATGTCTTTGAGTGTGCCTACCATCTTTTCACCTTATGTTAGACTGGAGCTTCTGAAATGGGATCCTCTTCATGAAGATGTGGATTTCTTTGACATGAAATGGTAGCAGGATTCTTGTGTTTTCCATAATACTTTTGATAGTGATTTGTCCTTGTTCTCTGATCATCAATGCGGGAAGCACCATATTCCTTCTCAGACTGTACAGGTTAGACTGCTCTGATCGGCCAATGTTACTGTTTACCTCCATGCTGTTGCCGTTTGTTTTCTGATGTGGTGATGTATGTCCGTGTAGAACCAGTGTAGGAGAACCATATAGCAGCAGCTGAAAATCTTGTGAGTTCCTTTCGCACTAGGAAATAAAGAAAAAAATAATAGCAATTTCTACGCACTGTCTTCTTTCTCCATTTTCCTTCTTCATTCTCTTATGATGGTATATATAGGCTCTGTTACTTGTTGTAATGTTCCATAGGTGGTTGTATGTTCTATTAACATTTGAATTGTGATATCATATCCTTTTTTAGACTTTGACTGCTTTGAGAAGTGGGTAGATAATTGCTAAATGAATATGACTTTGTCGCTTTTCTCTGTGATTTATTGGCCTTTCCATATCTTCACCTGGAAAGAAACGAACTTTGGACGTCTTCCAACTGAAAATTGTGCTTTCTGTTCCGTCTCCGACCTTTTCATTCGTAAATTATATTTGTATTGTTTTTGTTGGCATCAAGGAGTAGTGTTTATGCTCAGAATTCAGTAATTATGTCTGACCCCTTCTTGTGCTTGTAGTTAGGTCAAGCTTTTACTGGTTAATGTTAGCCTTAATGATATAACCTCATCCATAAAGTTCTCTCTACTGAATGGTTCAGATTTTGGAGTCACATACCGATGAAGTGTGGTTTTTGCAATTCTCACATAATGGAAAATATTTGGCTTCATCATCCAAGGATCAATGTGCAATTTTATGGGAGGTAAGTTGCCATACTATTCTCATGTCTTGTTAGGATTCAAATGTAAAGGTTTTGTGATTCTCTAAGAATATATATCCTCAGTATCTGACAAGATATTATATGTTGAACACCTATGTTTTTTCTTTAACTTGGTTAATACATTAGATACAACACCTATGCTAATTGACTTGACTGCACTGTTCAGGTAAATGCAGATGGCCAAGTTTCACTGAAACATAAACTTGTTGGTCACCAGAAGCCGGTAATAACTGTTCAGTGGAGTCCTGATGACACTCAAGTTCTAACATGTGGATCAGAGGAGGCCATTAGGCGGTGGGATGTTGATTCGGGAGATTGTGTGTGGATGTATGAAAAAAACGGTGTACGCCCGGTTTCTTGTGGATGGTATCCTGATGGGAATGGAGTATTTGCTGGGATGACAGATCGGAGCATCTGCATGTGGGATTTAGACGGTAGAGAGCAGGAGTGCTGGAAAGGCCAGAGGACCCAAAAGATATCGGATATAGCAGTGACCGACGATGGGAAATGGCTCGTTAGCATATGTAAGGAGACGATGATATCGGTGTTTGACAGAGAAAGGAAATACTACGAGAAACTGATAGAGGAGGAAGACATGGTAACATCGTTCACGCTTTCTAAAGACAATAAGTATCTGCTTGTCAATCTCATCAACCAGGAAATCGGGCTCTGGAACATTGAAGGCCAACCCATCTTAGTGTCGAGATACAGAGGCCACAAGCGTGCTCGGTTCATCATCAGATCTTGCTTTGGTGGGTACAGACAAGCTTTCATAGCCAGTGGGAGTGAGGATTCTCAGGTAAAATTTTGTCCTTTTACTCCCATAATCTGTTGTCGGAATCTGTGTTGGAAAAGGTCTGATCTGGTGAAAGCGGATGGGTTTGTAGTTTGGATTTGGTGGCTATGGTGTTGAGTTTTGCCTGGTGGGTTGCAGGTATATATATGGCACAGATCATCAGGGGAGCTGCTACTGGTGCTGCCTGGTCATTCGGGATCGGTGAACTGCGTGAGTTGGAACCCAACAAACTTGCAGATGCTGGCATCAGGCAGCGACGATGGCACCATTCGGATATGGGGTCTTCTCGATCATCGGATAAACCCCCAGAAGCAGCAGCAAGGGCTAGACATCAATGGTGTGATGATCCATCAGTGTAGTAGTGGTAACTGAAGCAAGAGGAAATGGAAATGGCAATGTTTTTCTTTGTAAATCTTTTGTCTGAATCTGACAATTCAATGTTATACATACATCTTCTCCTCCATGCTTTTGTACTCTTTTTTTTGTTTCCCTTTTCTGTTTCCTTCTCATTTTGTGTGCTTTGCTTTCTCTCCATCGGCAAATGCAGAGGGTCTAATGAAGGGGAAATATGCATATCGTTTGGTAATTAATTTGTTTAAATAATTATTAATGACGACTAAAAGATTCTATTGTCATGAACTTTAAGAACCGAAGAGAAGTGAGGGAAAAAAAAAACCCCTCTTTTTTCTCTGATTCACGATTCCGAGCTCCTTGCATTAAAACCCTAATTTCAGAGGAATGAGAGAGATATAGGGAGAAAATGACCGGCAACCGACCTAGGAATTTCCGGCGGCGTGGGGACGAAGACGACGAGGAAGACAACGACGGAGGCGGTGCCTCCACCGTGGCGGCGAAACCGTCTTCGGCTTCTTCGTCGTCGGGGAAATCTAAGAAGCTGTCGACACCGGCTCCGAAGAAGAAGCTCCTCAGCTTCGCGGATGACGAGGTGGAAGAAGACGGAGCTCTCTGTGTGAAGGTTAAGCCCAAGAGCGGCAGAGACCGTGACAAATCGTCGTCGCGTCTCGGCGGTTTGGGTTCTTCTCACAAGCTCAACAGCGGCAAGGACCAACGCCCCTCTGCCGTTTCCTCCGCCGCGCCACTGCTGTCCAATGTGCAGCCTCAGGCCGGCACTTACACCAAAGAGGCGTTGCTCGAGCTGCAGAAGAACACGCGGACACTGCCTTACTCTCGCCCAAGTACCGCTGCCGAGCCCAAGGTAGTGCTCAAGGGTCTAAATCTAATCAAACCTCCACAGCAGCAGGAGCCACAGAGTCTGAAGGATGTAGTCAAACAAGCTGCGGATTTGGACTCCGAAGACGATGGAGAAGAGGAACCGACTCTTGATCAGGCTGCCATTGAAGCTATTAGGGCTAAGAGAGAGAAGATGAGGCAGGCGCGTGCAGCTCCTGCTCCTGATTACATTTCCTTGGAAGGGGGCACTGCCAATCATGCTTCTTTAGAAGGGCTGAGCGATGAAGAGGCAGACTTTGAGGGTAGTTTCATTGGTCCGAAGTCGCAAAAGGGTGATAAGAAAGGTGTGTTTGATTATGTTGATGAAAGGCCTGTAGCTAAGGACTCCATTGTAGAGGATGAGGACGAAGAAGACAGGTTATGGGAAGAGGAACAATTAAAGAAGGGTTTTGGCAAGAGACTGGATGATGGGTCCAATAGAACAGCAAGTAGTAACGGAATTGGCATGCCTTTGCAGCAACAGCAGCAGCAGGCGTATACATATGCTTTAGGCGCACCGCATCTTCAAATGCCGAATGCTTCTATGGTGCCGCCCATTGGGCCGGCTAGTGGAATGGAGGATGTGATATCAATGTCACAACAGGCTGAGCTTGCCAAGAAGGCTATGCAAGATACTCTTAAGAGGCTCAAGGTACTATTCACTTGAATCTGCTGTCTTATCTGAAATATTTGTTTAAAGAACAAGTCTAATAATAGGGTTTCCAAATAAAAGAGGCATTGAATTATAGATTTTTCTTCTGTCTTCGGGGCAACTCAAAGTTTTAGGGCTTCTCAACCATGACTTATGGAGATGTCTTCCTGGTGTTTGCACTGCTATAGGACTAGCTATACGCTTGCTTTTGACTTGAGCACACATTTCTTGTTGATATATAAAGATATTTTTTTACCTTATATTGAATTCTTATTAGTTGCAATTACTTTGTTATATCTGCCAGGAATCTCATGGGAAAACAGTGTCGACACTTTCGAGGACAGATGAGAACTTGTCCGCTTCCTTGATGAATATCACTGCCCTTGAAAGTTCTCTATCTGCAGCAGGGGAGAAGTATATTTTTATGCAAAAGCTCCGAGACTTTGTGTCTGTTATCTGTGACTTCATGCAGGTACCCATCATTTTATTGTTTGTGATTTTGATTGGGCTGTACACCCGTACATCTGATTTACGTTGCATTCACTCTTTTCGTGCTTTTGAATACCAAACACTAGTTTGCTCTCTTGGTGCATCTCGCGATGTCTCTTCCCATCTCATGTGCCTGCACAGACACATGATTTCACGGGAAGCTTAGAAATGGACTATATCAGATGCTTATTTGTCACATTCTTATGTTTAATTCCAATTCTAGCAAAGCAGAGAAAAAAATAGGTCAAGCTGAGTTTTCATGCTCTAGGTAGTTTGGTGCCCTTGATACTTTTGATTACTCAACTTTCCATTTTAATGCATTCAAGCAACTTCTGCCATGTTGAAATTAACTTTGTAAAGGTATGATTTGGTGAGACTTTTGCACATTTAGGAGAATGATATCTTAATAAAATGGTATAGGCAACGCCCTTGCTTGAAATTTCTTTCTGATAGAATGAACCATCTTTCAACTCTTCCATTGATTCAACTATGTTAACATAACACTGACTTTTGAAGCATATCGTCGCCAGCTGCTCTTTATCCATCAATATTCAATATCTCAGATGTGAAAAACACTGTTTTTGATTGCCTTTGTGAATATATTGTGATGATTCTGTCGTTGGTATAAAAAATATTTCAGGACAAGGGTTCCTTAATCGAGGAAATCGAGGATCAGATGAAGGAACTCAATGAAAAGCGTGCTGCAGCTGTTTTGGAAAGGAGGGTTTCTGATAATAATGATGAAATGATGGAGGTAGAGGCGGCTGTGAAAGCTGCAAAAGCAGTGTTCAACCGACAAGGCAGCAGCAGTTCAGCTATTGCTGCTGCAGCAGCTGCTGCTCTAGCTGCATCTGCTTCTGTAAGACAGCAGACAAATCAACCAGTTAAGCTTGATGAATTTGGTAGAGACGAAAACCTGCAAAAGCGTAGAGAAATGGAACATAGAGCTACAGCACGCCAGAAAAGGAGAGCACGGTTTGAAGCTAAACGACTGTCAGCCATGGAGATCGATGGATCTTATCTGAAATTAGAAGGAGAATCAAGCTCTGATGAGAGTGACAGTGAGACTGCAGCTTACAAGGAAACCAGGGATAGCTTACTCCAGTGTGCTGAAAAGGTCCTCAGTGATGCATCTGAGGAATATTCCCAGCTTTCAAGGGTGAAAGAAAGATTTGAAAGGTGGAAGAAAAATTATGCATCTAGTTATCGTGATGCTTACATGTCTTTGAGTGTGCCTACCATCTTTTCACCTTATGTTAGACTGGAGCTTCTGAAATGGGATCCTCTTCATGAAGATGTGGATTTCTTTGACATGAAATGGTGAGTTATTCATGGGTGCTGTGTTATATATCATATGCTTAACCCTTATCCTTTCTAGTAGTTTGCTCTCACTTATGGAAATAACCCGATTGGTATCTCCTGTTTTCAGGCATGGATTACTATTTGATTATGGAAAACCAGAAGATGGAGATGATTTTGCACCAGATGATGCTGATGCCAACCTTGTCCCTGAGCTCGTGGAAAAGGTTGCAATCCCAATTTTGCATCATCAAATTCTCCGGTGCTGGGATATGCTTAGCACCCGAGAGACAAGGAATGCTGTTTCTGCTACAAGCTTGGTAACAAATTATGTTTCTGCTTCAAGTGAGGCCTTAGCAGAACTGTTTGTTGCTATCCGTGCTCGTCTTGCTGAAGCTGTGGCAACTATAATGGTATGACTCTGAATTTGATTGCATACACGTTCTGTAAATTTTGTAACAAGTCTCACCCAACCCCAGCCCCTGCTGTGCTACTGGCATGGTCTTTTTTGTTATTTTGCACATGCATGTTGAGCATAATTGCCCCTTTTTGTTTGCATGAATTTTGTTATATAAATGGATGGCTTTCGAGATATTTGATCAAATTCTGAAATTTACGTTTTCCTTTTAATCTTCTTTTACTCCCCAGGTCCCAACATGGAATCCTCTGGTTTTGAAGGCCGTACCTAATGCTGCACAAGTTGCGGCATACAGGTTTGGGATGTCGGTTCGTCTTATGAGGAATATTTGTATGTGGAAAGATATCCTGGCGCTGCAGGTGTTGGAGAACTTGGCCCTCAATGACCTTTTGTTTGTGAAAGTTCTACCTCATGTCAGAAGCATTGCATCAAACGTTCATGATGCCATCACAAGAACTGAAAGAATTGTTGCTTCTATGGCTGGTGTGTGGACTGGACCAAGCGTCACAAGAACCAACAGGTGCAAATTTTCTCTTTAACCCTAAAATTATAAGGTTTTTTTTTTCTCATTACGATTGTCATTAGCTCATCAAAGTGAACATCAGTCACGTTACCTGACATTGCACATCTTATTATCCTATTTCGATTAGTATCCGTTTGGACGAGGATTTTAGTGATCCTAAAACTACAACTATCTTGTAACTTGAGAGTTTAGAGTTACATCCCACATGACACAGTTACTTCTTTTTGGAAGATTTAGTGTGGTAGTCATTTTATCAAATGTTAGATGAACGTAGGCACTTTGCAGCGCCAGTTTTCTTTACATGTCATCATCCTCACAGTTTGTCATCTGTGTTGCCTTGTGCGGGTCTTATCGATGATATTCGATAAAATATTCGGGAAAAATAGTTCCTATGCTCAGATAGATATAGAAGGCATCTTGCATTTGATATAGGGGCTTAAGCCGTTACTGACCAATCACCTCGTACGAAATGTGCAGTCGTCAGTTACAACCTCTGGTGGATTGTGTCATGTCACTAAGCAGAGCCCTCGAGAAAAGGCGTGTCTCGGGTGTGGACGAGACTGAAACCACAGGTCTTGCCCGACGGTTGAAGAGAATACTTGTGGGGCTTCACGAGCACGACCATGCTAGGGACATTGTTAGAACATTCCATCTCAAGGAAGCAGTTTGACTGAACTTTGAGGATGAAAGCTGAGGATTTCAGTGGAATTTGGTTATTACAAGAGGTAAAGAGATACAGATACGATATGGCATTGTACTTTCAAGACAGAATGTAACGTTCGCGGCCAAATGTATCTTTAGGATGTATAGACAAAAGCAATGTCCAAAAATGAATGATGTGATGGGTCATTTCTCTCAATTTTCAACGTGGGAGTTAAACTCTTTGTTGTCACATTCTCATATGCTTTTGGTTTTTATTATATACTTCATGAGAAGTACAATACAACCGTACTATGGATGAACTCTGCCATAGAGGAGAAGAAATGAACATACTATTAGTATTCAGAATTTGATCTTTTTTTGGGTCAAAATCAAGGGGGGATCTGAATCAATCATCTGCATCTGCACCTGGAGAGTTTTCTTCCACCATCTTCTCAAGTGAATCTAAGTCTCCTGCCTCCGAGAGAGTGTGTATCCTCAGCTTTTCTGCGTCCTCACTGAAATCATAAGCTCAATAATTTCAGTTTTGTTTCTTACACACAGCTTAAAATTTGGGTTAACACTTTCCGAAGAACTTACTCTGCAACTCCGAATATTTCCTTCACGATTAAGGAGCTGTCCCTCGAGCAGAAGTCCGGAAGCTGTTCCAAGAAAGACGGGAGAATATGTCATAACATCACCCCGGCTTAAAGCAGACGGTTAAAGTATCGCTCACGTCATTAATCAACATCAGATGAAGAACCCTTAAGTATGAGAAAATGCAACTTCTGTTAGTGATATCATACCTCAGACAGATAGAAAACTTTCCCGAAAAGTGTCTGCACGGCCAGTTTTCTCTTGAACCCCTTTTCGGTGAACCCTGACATATCCATCACAACAGGGCCTGCGGTGGAGAAACTCTATCAATGACTATGCCGCATAAACAGTGATGGAGAACACACAATGGGAAACCAGAGTATAACCACGCCGGACAAAGCATGTCAAAGAGAGAGAAATCGTACCTTTTTCTTTAACAATGCGCCCGGAGATTTCATTTAGAATCTCAGCAATCTGGGAATCATCCAAACCAGAAGCTTTTCTGAGGTGAATTAGGTCAGCGACAAGGTCGGGATTGAAGGGTTTCTCGTTCAGGGCATATCGAATGTACTTCCTCAATATCTCCTCCATGCTAAACCCTGTCTGGATGTAAATTAGCACCCGGTATCAAAAATCTAGATCAAGATAGAGATAGAAAGCACAAACAGATTAAGATTCTTGTATATGTTCTGTTTTCAGACAACTAGAACACCGGAAGTATTACTTCACCTAAACTCAAACCTGACACATAAAAAACTCAATTTTAGGACTTTCTATTGAGATCTTCATCTTCTGCATTTCGCTTACCTTTTGAACAAGTCCCTTAAGCTCGGGAAGATCAACAGCTTCTCTACCTTTCTGAAACAACTCATCTATTGACTTGCAAAGCATTGCATTTTGATTCACCTGCACAAAAGATAACAAATCCCCATGGATCAATTTCAGTTCAGATGGAGTTTCAAGCCATTCCGATGAAGAAAGCCATGAACTTTAAGCATAGCCTCTTGCGAATAAAGCACATAGCAAAAGATTTCTACTTGTTCAACAAGATCAAATTTCCAGTCCAAACACAGAGGAACGAGCCAACGATCAAAGCTTGAGCTGTATGTCACAAATCAAAATGCGCGCACACATATATACACACATCCGCATTGTACACCCGTATGCATTTCCACGAAGACACATGAACAATATCACGAGATTCCATGGGGATGGATTCATTACCAGTTTCTTGCGTTTGGCTTTAGGGGAAGTAAACTTCTTGACGGTCTTAACGAAGGCAATAACGAAGGTCACTCCGGCGTAAGCCAAGGGGACAGCGAGCATCCACGGCAATGAGCTGCTCCCGACTCGGGGACCGGGAATCGCCTGTGTCACGGACCCAGTGAACTCGACCAGGTCCAAAGCCTTCTCCTGAATCCACGGCATATCCTCCTCGACTTCGACCACCACTTCCGTGCCCTTGTTCTCCTCCCCGCTAGAACTCTTCGCCGGCGTCTGCTTCTTGATCTCCGCCGCGACAGCCTCAGAGTCCTTCCTGGAAGCAGCAGCGAATACGGAGACAGAGGAAGAGGTTTGTAGTCTCAGAGAGGGGAAGAAATGGGAGGAGCGAGGGAGAAGCGAGGGAGGAAGGAAAGGGTTTTGGGGTGGAGAGAGGAGAAATCCAGAAGGATGAGATGGAGAGAGGAGAGGCGCCATTGATGGAGATTGAGGGAGATGATCAGAATACAGAAATGGTCGAGATGTTGGAGCTCAGTTGAAGGAAGCCGAAGCAGTAGCGGCGCCGGCGGACAGAGCTTCAAAGACGACGACGCAGATTTGTCGGGAAAGAAGATGAGAAAACGCTTTGAAAGCAGTGACGGTGTTACTTGTTGGGCCTTTTCACTGGGTCGGCCCATTTGTCTCATAAAATTTATTTTCTTATAAAATAAAATCGATTCAAGCGTGTCACTTGTTGGGCCTTTCACTGACTCGGCCCATTTGTCTCAAAAAAATTTATTTTCAAATGGATTCGGCCCATTGGATATTCACACATTTAAACATGGAGATGGATCATTCGACTTTTAATTTGGTACTTGTCGAATTCAATTAGATATTTATCGATTCTACAAAAATTATGTAAAAATAAAACTGAATATGATTTGGTTAGGCAGATTCAATTCGAACCGATTTAGGTCTAAATCTTGGTAAGGAGATTGACCCCAAATTTTCAGACAATTATTGAATCTTCAAAAGCTATAGGCTTTTCTTCCGTGTGTGAACCAAAAACCTTTACATAGAGAGTGTGAGAGCTTACAACAAAAGAATCAACAACACAACAGAAGTCCCTAAAGAAGGCATTCATCATCCTTAAACGTTGTCAGGCCAAAACTCCCTAAAGAAGGCTCTTTCGAACTCCTTTTCCTGTAAATGCTTTTCAAACTCCATCATCTTCCTCATCTTCTTAGAAAGTTTCTTGCTTTTCTTTGAAACTCCTCCTTCTTCTCCCTGAAATCCATAGTACACAAAAAGGTTGGTACTTGGGGGTTGGAACAGATATGTGCAAAGAAAGACCTAAAGCAAGTTCTTCCCTTGAAGGATATATTCCCAAACCAACACAAAGCTCTGCTTCATCATCATCATCACTTACCTTTTCATCATTTTGAGAAGTTGTCGTCTGAGGTTTTGTTCTTTTCTTTTTTGGTCTGTCTGCTCCCAGTCCCCGTTTATTATGTTTCAACTGTGCCTCTACCGGCTCTAACCTCCCCTGTTTGAAAGAAAAGCTTACTGTTGAGGATCACAAAGAAGTTTTGAAAACTCAATAGAAATCACCAGTACAGAGACTACACCAGAAGAAATTGATCAAGGGTGATGATACTAGAAGAACACAGAGATCATTTCTAGAATACAAACTCAACTGTATACCCTTTTTGGCGGTCTTGAACACCACAATTTCAAAAGCTTAGACACAAGCAAAACCATCTATTTATGTACTTCAAGGACGCACAATGAGAGAATATAATAACCCTTACATTCTGAAAAAGAGGATGAAGTGATCGTGCATGTAACCCTTAAATTCATATCCAAAACACAGACAAGAAGCCAAAAACATTCCTTTTATGTCAACAGACCCATTGCATGAACTTGATGAGGGATAACAAAGCAAGGAATAAAAGGTACAGCAACAAACCTGTTCTGCAACTCCGAGACCACTCCCTTCCTTCCAACCATGCTTCTTCAGGAGCTGCGATGTTCAAGTTGCACCCATGTCTTTTACCACCACCAAATATAAAAAAAAAAAGGAAAAAAACAAACATGAAACAGAAATATCCCAAACTGATCGAAATATATAGCCTCATGCCATTACCTGAAACCCTATATTGGAAGAATCAATGGCGGCCCATGAATTGCTTGGTCCGGAAGGCTCCCCCATAACGATGAAACCCTGAATCCAATTACTGAAATCGTCAGAAATATTTCGAATAAGAAACATAATTTTGTCCAAATTCAGGTTTGAATTTTTTTAGGTCGAATCGCCAAAACTAGGGTTAAGCTCAATAACCTCGATGAAGCTGAAATCTTTTCGGCACATAACTCGAATTAAGGAGAAAACAAACGAAATTTTTTTTATAGAAAACATGTCGGATCACCGGAATATTGAAAAAGTCGCGAGCAATAAGTTCGAGTGTTTTCAAATCAGATCAAAGATACAAACGAGAGACTGACCAGAATCGGGAGACCCAAGTAAAATTGGCTCCGGACAGAACCAAGGAGAAACCCTAGAATCGCCGAGAAAATTCAGTCTGAATCGCTCCGAGAAAACCGTTCCTTTTTCTTCTTTCCCGAAGCTTGTAGTCTTGTGCAGCTTAAAAACACCAATTTGGAAAAGTTAGGAAATTGCTAAGAGTACCCCCAAAGTTACTAAAATATCATGTTTATAGACGGTACTTTATAAAATAGACATTGTGCCCCTTAAAAGATTCAATCAACATATGGAAAGAAAAAAAAAACTAAAAAAAACTGTATACATTCCTTAATCTTTCCCATTTATACATCAATATAAAAACCATATAATTTATATATAATTTAGTCAGTTTCATCTTCAGTATACACACATTCATTTTTAATTTAATCTGATATACCATGACCCTAATTAACATTTTCTTTTCATTTGAAATAAACTCATACAAATTCATCAGTTTTATACATAATCCCATATTACATACAATATCATACATATACAAGCATATTTAATTAGAAAAAATATCCATTAAAAATACAAAAAAAAAATCAGGTTAAATTTAGTCTATTAAATCGATTAATTTTAATTTCAGTCTGAAAAAAGTTACCAGTACAAATGAACCAATCCTAGAAAAATTAAATATGTGAACTTTTCATATATCCGTCTCAGATTTGAATGAAGCATTTGATGATGATCTTTTTTTTATAACGGAGGACTCTAGCTGCTACCCTTCGGACGCGCTGACTAGGTAAACATCGGGCCCTACCTCCCTCCCCACAAGTCAGGAATCGAACCTCAATCTCAAGATGGAGTTACCTACCCCAAATTTGACCACTCGTCCACGATCTGTTGAATAAAATTTGTGAAAATTTTCATATATATATATATATATATTCCAAATGAATTAATCGTAGGGAGGTTAAATATGTTTTTCAACATTACATATTTACATGAGAGGTAAAAAAAAAAGAGAGAGAGAGAAGAGAGAGAAGTGAGTGAAAAGGGTGGTGCATTGATGATGGGACCAGCAGCAGATGGGACCATTTTGTTTAGTTGTAGTGTGGGAGAAAATATGGGATCCTTTTTTGTGGATCCTTTGGATAAGATATCAACATCATCATCATCATTCATCATCCATCATTCATCATCATCATCATCATTCATCATCCATCATGTCACAGTTGAAATGTCACAGCTTGGACTTTGTGTGGTTTTGATGATATGATTAAGTTTGCTCCATACAATGATTGCTTTTAAAGCCTCCAAAGGGAAGGACTAAGCACATGTAGCCTCATTATGAATTTTAACAATTCTTGGTTCCATTTACACTAACCAAGAAAAAATATCGGCATTGAATCTATTTCTAAACATAATATTTAAATCAATATAAATGGAAACAAATGATATAAAATTAGCTCGATGTACCCTTTGCAAAATTAAAAACTCAAACCTGAAAACCCCAAAATACACCTTCTTGTTACCATGAAATTCGATAAAATTGGAAAAAAAAAATCAGATTTTTTCATATTTGTATTTTTTATATCAAATTCGAATGGAAAAATAAATTTTAAAAAATCAAATAAAAACTAAATCTTTCTAAATATAATACTTTTATCAATATAAGTGGAAACAAATGATACAAAATCAAATTGGTATGTTTTTTGCAAAACATAGCTTCCTACGACTACGAATTAATAGTAAATTATATAAAAATGTTATTTTCCATATTTATCTTTTTTATTTATTTCATTTATTAGTCATCCCAAGATCAAACGGGTTAATCCCATAAAAAAAATCTCAAGCTTGTTAAAATGTTCCATATAAAACCTTAAACTTACAATCTCTCACAAACAATCCTGAATTTGGTAAAAACTTCTACAAAAATTACAAACTTATAATTTTGCTGATGTGACACGACGAATTCATGACATGGCGCTGACTGAGTTGACACGGCAATGCCACGTCAACATTTTAAAATTTTAAATATAAATTTCTAAATTTTGATCAAATATATATATTAAGTTTGTAATTTAAAATTTTAAATATACAAATATATATACCTATATACAAACATGCACATATATTTTTATCAAATATATATATATATATATATATATTAAGTTTGTATTTTAAAATTTTAAATATACAAATATATATACATATACCTATATATATATACATATATATATATATATATATTTTTATCAAATATCTATACACATATATATATTTGTATATATATTAAGTTTGTAATTTTAAATTTTAAATATACAAATATTTAAATCAAATATATAAATTTTCATATATAAATTTATATATATATATACATATATATTTTTATCAAATTTTTAAAATGATGATATGGCGTTGACGTGTCAACTCAGTCAGCGTCATGTCAGCAATCTATCGTGCCC